ATTTTATTTTCCTTTGTTTCGCCTGTCTGTGAAATGTAACACCGATGAGTCATTGTTTACACAGCTGGGTGACCTTGAACACAGCTGGAGTCCGATTTCCCGGGACATTCTCATAGACATCGCGGGAGGACAAGGGTTTAAAGTAGGGTGACTTCAATCTGGCGGTATATTTTTAAATATTTTTAAAAAATTATAATTTTTATTGCGATTTCCGACCCCCCCTAATTAATTAAACTTCTATATAATAAAATCTATTAATTAAAAAAATTAAAAAACTATCGGAGGTCGTTTTTGACATCAGAAAGCAGCTTTAAATAACTTTACCGAAGGAAAATCGGTGCACTACAACTTTAGAACAATTAATTTTGATAAAAAAACTCCTATTAAAAAAACATTAAAAAGCAATTGAGCCTTATCAAAGGCTCATTAAAATCGCGATAAAATTTTTTCGCGTGGGCAAAAAATTTTGAAAAAATTTGGGGACCTAAAAAACATTCCAAAAATAAAAAAAATTTTCGGGGGCCTAAACGCCCGGTTTTTTTAACGCTATAAACCTTGCTCGAGTCAGACTCCAGTGTGGGTAGGAAGGGGTTAATTAATTAAATTAAATTAATTAATCATCATTGAGACTAAGTGCTGATCAAAGTGATTATAAAATATTTATTTTTTTTAAAACAGATAATAACTCCTTATTCTATTTTGTTTTAAATTTGCTAAAAGTATCAGTTGCATGGCTTCATTTTTTAAAATACAATACACTCATCAAAAAGTTATATTTATTGATTGTGTGCTTAATGATTTTCCTTGAGTATAAAAAAATTTTAGCTAAAATCTATTTGTTGTACAGTGGGTGATCAGTTAATGAACACCTCACAGAATAAACACAAGAAGTGATGTAAAATAATGAATACCCATTGGTCTTCCCTTGTCTTCAGACAATAATTCAAAACTTTTTGGAACGTGGAAGACGTCGACATGAACGCTCAACCTGGTATATACTGATTGGATAGTATTCCTCCAAACTTTGAAACTCTCCCTTGTAATTCCAGCCTTTTATTTTTCTGACAGAAACAATTCTTTTATAGTATTTGTGAGACTGTCAGACACTTGTTAAGTTTTGCGTTGGTTTTTATTTTCAAAAGATGAGAGTATAATAGCAAAGGTAGAGAGTGGGTAGATGTCTGATGCCTGTTGTTGCTGGGCAGTATGGCTTGAACAGGTCTATAGTTCAATCTTATCTAAGAAAGATACTGTATTATCAAGAAGACTCAAGCAGCTTAAGGAGTAACAGAAATCACATCTGAGAAATAAAGAACAATGAAGAGTGCCAAGAATTCTTGAATAAAGAATACCAAGAAACTCAACAAGATATGTTTTCTTCTGAAAATGAGAATTAATGTCTATCTGCTATTAAACATGTTTTGAAGAAGTGGGATGATGTCAGAACGACAGTCTTATAATGGCATCCAAACCAGGTTGAGGTTAATAGGCTTAGGGATCTCTACAATTACAATGCTATTAATTACTTCTGAAAAATCTTGAAGAAGAGCGAAAAGCAATCAACATTAGACAGATTCTTTAACCCCCATGAATGGAAAAAACAAGACTAATAAAAATGTAAGACTTTATGTAATAATGTAAAAATAAAAATATATATATATGTATTTTTATTATGAATATAAATGAATGTAGTAAGAAAGTATATATTTTTTATTTTTTGGAGTCTCCAGAATGAATTAATCAAATTCCCATAAAAACCTATGGTAAATCGATAAATGGTTAATGAACAATTCGGATAGTGAACAAAGTCTTAGAATGCATTATGTTCGTTAACCGATCACCCACTATACTATTAATATTAAATAACAAATTATGAAACAAACAAAACAAAATTAAGAGACTAAGAAAAAGAATATCTATATATATAAAAATGAATGTATGTCTGTGTGTCCTTTATGCATTACCACACCGTTTATCCAATTGCCACGAAACTTTGGGAAGTTGTTTAATATACTCCTGCGAAGATTTGTGGCATAGTACGATTGCCATGAAGCTTTGGAAAGTTTTTTAATTTTTTAATACACTCCCACGAAGTACATTTATCCTACGATAGATGGCATGCGTTTACACGAGCGTTCGCGCACAGTGTGTTCGATTGATTTAAAATTGTGAAGACCATTTCCCCCCTTCAAAAAATATCTCTATATATGCATTTGTGAACTGTTATTTACGATATTTATAATAATTTTTGTTTAATCACTTTATTTCGACTTTTTCTGCTAATTATGTATTCGCTCGAACTTCGTTAAAATCTTAACTGTACCCCGAACAACGACTGAAGTTGTAGGAAGAAATTCACCTATTTTACCGATCTAGGTATCCCCCTTTTTCAAATTTTAATATCGACTCAAAATAATTTAAAAAGACAAATTACAATAAAACGGTTTATTATCCAACTATCAGAAATTTCACAACATGCCAAGGAAGAGAGGAAGNACTAATTACATGGGATATAATAATATACTACACTAATAATAGATTTTTTCATACTTTTCGGTTATCCGCCCTTTCAATTATCCGACCAACCCCAGTCCCCAATTAGGTCGGATAATCGAGGCTCTACTGTATTTATACACAATTTTTTTAGTAAAGTATTATATTAAATGATTGTTTATATATTAAAATAGTGATTGTTATATAAATGATTGTTTATATGTTACATATTATAATATTGATATATTGTTTCTGTGGAAAAGCATTAAAAAAGATTTTCTTTAAATTAGTTTTAGTAATGTATTTAAAAATAGCAATTATATAGAAAATTATACATTTGAATTTTTTGAATTGATTATGATTTGAATTTCTACAACAAAAAATTGATGCAAAAGAAAAAATTTTTTAAAATGATATTTCAAAATTTATAAGTTATTAATCTTCTGCTATAAAGCATATTATATTTATGTAAATCACTATCAATTTATATAAAATAGTTATTCAAAATAATAGGAATGCAAACATTAAAAAATTACCTTATTTTAACAGTATAGATTTACTGAAATGCTAATTGTAAACACAATAAAAGAATATACATAAAAAATATTAAAATATTTTGTAGAAGCACTTATGGCAAAGGACTTAAGGACAGGAGATCTTGCCTTCTGTCCTTCTCAAACCTTCAGGAACTAAGTTTCTACAGGTTGAGTCAACCTTTTTATTAAGGCTTCTTGTCTGCCTCCGTATGTAAAAACTTTAGGTCACCATGTAGGAACTGTATTTTGAAAGTTTTTACATATCAAGGCAGACGAGAAGCCTTAATATAAAGGTCGACTCTGCCTGTAGACTGTTTGTTTTTTCCTGAAGGTTTGAGGACAGAAAGCAAAATGTTTCTTATGAATGTTTAAAATAGCTATTTAACTTACATTTACTTCATTTTTAATTTTTTGATTTTTTTTGGGTTATTTTTAAGAAGAATAATTTTAGTATTTAATTTGAGATAGCATATTCATATTGAAAAATTTAATTTATCATATGTGCTTTGTTGTTAATTTGTTTATATATGTAAATTTTTGTTGTTAAAATATTTCAGATATTTCTTTTACAATTACTTCGGGGTCTTGCTTACTGTCACAAAAGAAAAGTCCTTCATCGTGATCTCAAACCACAGAATCTACTTATTAGTGACAGAGGAGAACTGAAGTTAGCAGATTTTGGTAGGATTTAAAATTATTCTTGTATTTTTGTGTTTGTATTTTTTTTATGTAAGGAAATTGCATAAAATATCATTTATTGAAATAATTTTTTCTGAAATGTCAATTTTAAATTTAACTTTTTAATAAAAACTAAAATAGATCTTTTAGATATATTTTTATAGGATCTTACTTTTAAGGTTTAATTGTTTTGAAATGTATTTGAGTGTGCATTAAAAGTAATTAGCCTGTAATTGCAGATGACAGTTAGTTAATGATTTATTTGTTTGTTTTTACTTGCATTCTTATTTTCTTCAAAATACATGTCTAACTACTATAAAGATTAAAGTTTTTGATTATTCAGCAAAATTTTGTTAAAAAGTGAGGAAAAACTAATTTTATTAAGTTCCATTAAAATCGATATAAGATAATGGACTTGTTCTAATTCCCCGATGTGTTTTCAAAAATTACAAAGTTATATTCATCTTCAGCAAGTTATAATGAATTTTTTAAGATTTTTATCTGTATGGCTCAATTGATTTAAATTTCCTATGATACATTTTTTGTAATACTATTCAGTGAAATGTTCATTTGCGATTCTCTTGTGACTCAAATTCTTTGATTGGAGTAAATTGAAGTGTTATTTATTCTGTAAGTAACATTTCATAATTGGATAAAAAAAAACAGTAAATTATTATTACAATGTGAATAGTTGATAGCAGAATTCAAGTTGTGTTGTTTATATGTAATTCTGTTAGAATATTTATTTTGGATTGCTGTTTTGTTGTTGTTCATTGCTACATTGCTGCTAAGCAATGATAAAATTATAGCTTTTAGTGGTAAATTTTTTATTTTAAACTACACAAATGTATAAAAATTAATGTTATGTTTTGATTGTTCTTATAGGCTTAGCAAGAGCAAAATCTGTACCTACCAAAACATATTCCAATGAAGTAGTTACATTATGGTAAGATTGTGATACACAATATGATTTAGTTGATTCAGCTGAAAATATTTTTATATGAAACCATTTTGTTATAGGTATCGGCCACCAGACGTCTTGTTAGGTTCAACCGATTATACAACTTCGATAGATATGTGGTAAGCCATTTTCTTAATCATTAAATATAAGATTTATTTTTATAATGTAAATGAATTTAATTTACAAATTTAATTTTTGGAAATTAGCATGAATTAATACAGTAGAGCCTCGATTATCCGACCCCTCGGTTAACCGACCGTCCTAGTCGGCAAATTTCAAATGTCCGCTATTGATGTGGCGCTACAATATTTGACTATGTCTTGGCTACTTTAATATTATTTTTACGTGTTTTAGCTGGCAACACTCATTCGACCATGAAAGGAAGCCAGTATTTAAACGAGGCTTAACTTTCTAATTTTTAACGATACAATAGTGATGATTATTATTTTAAAAAATTTTTGTTAGGCTTAACATCAATGAAAATTCAACGCAAAGTAGGTTAATAGCGATATACTAATTACATGGGATATAATAATATACTACACTAATAATAGATTTTTTCATACTTTTCGGTTATCCGCCCTTTCAATTATCCGACCAACCCCAGTCCCCAATTAGG